TTTTCTTTGCCATTAATCTCAATTGGAATATTAGCTTATTTTTTGGCCCAAAATAAATTTAGCTTGCCTGTTCTGTCCAATTTGTGTAACTTCTGGATTGGAGTTGCTTTGATCAGTTGACCATTGACAATTGATATTAAACCGAGTAAAACTTTAGGAAGACAGTTCATCTTTTTAACCTCCTAGAACATTGCGACTCTGCACATGTGGTTGTGGGATTTAGTCCATCCCAGGAGTTTCTGGTTTTGGTGATTTATTTCTCAGTGTTTTAACATGTCCAACATGCTGTATGATAAGATGTTTTGTGTTCAGGAAATTCAGTTTGAGCCCACTGTCATGTGTGAGTCAATTGACAAGAAAATTACATTCGGAGCTAGTCAGGTTAACATTTATATATCCTTTATGTATTATTGTTTCGTAATTTATAATGATCTAATTTAGTACTACTGTAAGTTTTTTGCAATAAAGTAAAAGAACAGAAACTGCAGAACCAGAAAATTTCAGAACAAGAGCTTCTCTGATATGGAGCTCTCTTTTCATTTCAGATAAAAATTACAAGACATAAGAGTTGCTAAAAATATAAGCAACTCGTACATATCAGTTTTACAAAAGAAAACTACCAGAAACCATAAACTTTAACTGCAAAAAACTAAAAACACAGTTACAAATTAAAAAACATAACTGATATTTGCTAACTTCAACAACTACTCTAAATGGTCTTTTGTCTTAACCACAGCTTGGAGATGGTGACATTATTTGCTTTCAAAAGTCCCTTCCTGTTGAAAGTGCTGAAAAATTCCTCTATCCAGATGTTCCCTCATTTTTGGAGTATTTGCGCAATCGCCAAGTATGTGCTGTATCCCTTTTTATATACGGAAAGTTTTCTTCCACATATGCTCTCTCAATTCTGAGCACTGTTATATTGGCTAAGGAAATTCTAAATGTGATTTACCTTGATAAAAATTCCCTAAGTTCCAAAAAAGAAAAAAAAAAAAGAAAAAAAATGGGTGATTTACTTTGATACCCTGCAATGATATTCGCATTGTTGTTTGTATGGTAGGTTGTACACTTTCGGTCTCTGGAAAACCCAAAGGAAGATGATTTTTGTCTGGAGATGTAAGTTGAAAGCCT